GGGGGGGGGGGGGGATAGTCTTCTTCTGGAGTCACATCTACAAAGTTTCCCAACATTTTTCATCCCATTTCAAAGACTGACGTTAATAGCAAATCTGAATAATAAAAGACTTAAAAAGAGGGATTACTCCTAAAAGAAGCTTAAAGAAACTTAAGACATAGGGAGAAAGGGGCACTTTAAGGGTTAAACCCTCCTGTGTAGGCCACCTTCCATCAGGACCCACAAGCCACTGCTCAGATGGTCAGGAACAGGGCAAGAGTGAGATCAGAGCCAGTTTATTCTGTTTTCATTCATTCATTCATTTCTCTATGGAAAAAAATATGTATGAGGGCCCCTATGAACCATTAGCTTGAAGTGCAATGCTAATGAGCAGCTTTCACTGTCCTTAGAGAGCCCTCAGTTCAGTGAGAGAAGACTGGTAAGCAAGCAAGGAATTGCTTAGCTGCCATGCCATTGGTTGAGTAAAATGAACCTGGAAGTAGTGTGAAGAGAAATCAAAATTCAGAGAAGGGCACTTTGGGGGATTTATACGACTAGTCTTTTACACTGAAACAGGAAGCACCTTAGATCAAATAGTTAGGATCCAATTTGACCAGTTTTGCAGGAATATCCTGCCACCTGTTGAAACACAAAATAAATATGACTCTAGGCAAATCCAAATCATCTTTAGAGGGAAATGTATACAATAAATATGAAATATTACTGATTTGTGATTTATGACCACAAGTACTAAATGTTTCATTTGCAATCTCGTAAATAACTGGCTAGAGCATGAAGAAAAGTTTAATTTTTAATAGTTTGTTTAAATTAATACTTATCCCTACTTTCCTTCAACTCATCATTCTTAACCATAGGATACATGCTTATGGAAAATTAAGAGACCACACAAAAGCATAAGAAAAGATTATGAAAATTTCCACCCAATTATTAAATAAAAAATTGTGGACAATAAGTTCCAACATAAAAAGCCAAAATGGCCTGATGTGTGTGTGCCCTGGAGTTCATGATGCCTGATTCTCTGATGTGTACCCTGCAGCTCTGTCAGGCCCTGGCCTTGTTCGCATGGTCACAGTCTGTGCTGAATCCCTCAACACACACCTGGACAGGTTGGAGGAGGTGACCAATGAGTCAGGCTTCGTCGACGTGTTGACCCTCCTGCGTTGCGTCATGCTGGACACCTCTAACATGCTCTTCTTGAGGATCCCTTTGGATGGTACTGAAATTTTCACTCTTGCATCTGGACCTTCTGTCCTTTATTGAACAAGGGGCTAGGAGGGATAGCAGACCAAAGGAATCATATGTCGTTTTCTACATTGCTCTTGTTTAAATATTTCTAAGTGCTCCTGGGTTTTTTTCCCTGGTGTTGCTGCTTTGTTCACATATAAAATATAAATTTCCATAAAGTAGGAGCCAGCATCTATTTCTTTTGTGTATCTCTTCATTGCTCTAGGAAATAGAATTCTACCTATAGTTGAAACTTAACAAATGTGATTAGTTCATTTAGTTATTACTATATCCTATTCAACTTGATATATTTAACCATTTCCAACTGTTCTTTTGAGCATGATATATATATACATATATACATATACATATACATACACATATACACATACCCCTCCCTCAAAGCTACCAAACATGAAAGCATTGTGTCTATAAAATAAAAATGTCAATACTGCTGGTGACACTGATGCTGATGGAAATTATAATATTAGCTACCATTAACATAGTATCTAATGTGTGTGCCAAACAGTATTAAAAATTGCTGTATATACATGTTTGCCATTTATTATTCATAACCTTAACAAGAGGTCTCACTCAAAAGGCTACTTTCCCCACTATGATATAGAAATGAATATCAAAACATGTGCATGCTCATGTCAAACTCATAGAACTTGATTTTATTTTGGCAGGATTAAACCAATTTGCAACTGCCAGAAATTCAGCTAGTCCTTAAAAAGTTGTGCCATTGTGCAAAAGTCCTTGAATTCTTTGATAACTTTTTAACCTAATGATCAAATACCTGACAGGAATGGAATGGACTTATACCTAATTGTTTCACACTGTTTTCTATGGGTTACGTTTTTCATTGCCATTGTGATCTTTATCCACACACTCACTCTGTAAAATGAATTCACTATTCTGATTTTGTACTCATCTATGAGGGATTCTGACAGATTCTGACTTGTAGTAGTTTACCTGGAAAGTATAGGAATTAAAAAATTGGCATTCTTTCCAGTATACCTTTTTTGTTTTTTTCTTAAATACATTTATATTATGTACTACTCTTAAAGAATGTTTTAGTCTCCATTTCAGTAATCTGTGCATAAGGTTACTAATATGCATGCACAAAGAAAAATTCAAAAGCCCATTTGGGTATATTTTAGAACATTATTTACCACTAAATATTTATATAGTTGACATAATGCTTACTGTAATAATAATAGAATGGTAACAGAATTTTTTTTTAACTTCTTATCCATAAGCATTGGCTTTATATTGCCTCAAGAGGAGTAGAATTTATTAAACAAGATTCCTAAATCCATAACTCGTATTGTGACTTCATACATTTTGTAACCCTAATAGTGACTATACCCTAAAAACCTATAAATCCCCCAAATCACTCTACTGATTTAAAAAAAATGTGCATGCAACTCTACCATCACCAAAAAGCAAACAATCATTTGAGTAGTTTGGTGGTTGCCAGAGGGCAGGAAGGGTAATGGGGAGAAAAGAGATGAAGAAAAGTTGATTCATGGGTGCAAAAATATAGGGAGATAGAAGAAACAAGATCTAGTGTTAGATAAATCAGTGTAGTGAAGAAAATAAATAATAATCTATGTATAACCAAACAGCTAGTAGAGAATAACTTGAATGTTCTCAGCATAAAGAAAAGATAAATGTTTAAGGTGATGAATATCCTCATTACCCTGATTTGGTTATTACACATTATACAAATGTATAAAAATATTACATGTACCTCTAAATATGTATATCTGTTATATATCAATAAAAAAGTAATCATTAGGATTAATTCCATTTTTCTGTTGACATTAAGTATGTACAACTCAATGTGACTTTTCCTGAATTAGCTTACACCAGTATTTGTTGATTCATACATTCATTTATCAAATACTTGATTGCCTATTTTATGCCAGGCACTGTTGTGGGTTCTGGGGACATAATAGTCAACTAGACAGATAAAGTTCTTGCCTTCAAGTTCTTGCCTACATTCCAGTGGGAGATGTGTACAGAAAAAAAAAATCTAATAACATATTAGGCAATGTTAAGTGCCTTGAAGGAAAAATGAAGCAGGGCAAGAGGATAGGAAGTGTGAAGGAGGGCGACAGTGGGCGTGGGCATGGATGTCATGGAGAGGTGGTCAGGAAAGGTCTCTACAGAGAAGACATTTGGCCGTAGCTCAAATTTGTTGAGGCCACAAGCCACAAGTAGATACGAGGGTAGAACACTGCAGGCAGAGGAACAATGCATACTTTTAACATTTGCTCCAATCAACTGACCTGGAACACATGCTACCTGGTATACCACACTTGGACACATAGACAAGCTATAAGTCCTCCCTATTTACTCATCTCTCCTACTCCAACTACTCCATACAAGAGCTGTAGAAACTTCATCTGATGGCCATTTGGATGGGAGCCTTCAATCACTTGAAGAATTTTTAGTCAAACTATCTCACCTGATCTCTTTTCAGGCAGGGATGCCACTCCCAGGTTGCCTGTTCCTACAGACATCACTTCTAAAGTGAGACAGGCATATATTTTACAAGTCCAGGCTCCCTGGTCCCCCTCTAGCCTTGCTCATTAGGAAGGATCATGTAAAAGGAATTGTAAATCTCTCCATTCATTTTTGGATCCAGACTGTGATGCTGGCAAACCTGTGCAACCCACAGTTACATAATCCCTTTTCACAGGGGTCCATGTTGAACTCTCAATTTGCCTAAGGGACCCAGTGCAAGAAAGAGAAAAAGACATGGTCCTGAGGTCAGACAGAACCAGCTCCAGCCTCAGGGCCTGCCTGTCAGCCACACTAGCTGTATGGTTTTGGGCAAGCTTCCGAATTTCTATGAATTACAATTTCTTCAACTGCAAAAGGATGACACCACAACGGCCATGGCAAGATTGTAAAGATTAAATTAAAAATCTCTTTCACAAAGCGCCTAGCATGATGACTAGTATTCAGCAGTTGAAAATAAATATCTGTTCCCTTCCCTTTTGTATATTAGCTGGTAAAATTTGAAAAAGCAAGGGTTTTCTTTCCTCTAGTATTCAATTTAATTAAAGAGCATTCATTAAGAGCTGATTGTACAGGAGGCTTAGGACAAGGCATTGAAGAACACAAGAAGAATTCTACGCTCTGGACTGAATTTAAATAACTATGAAAGCTATGTGATGAGTGCTATAGGGAAAAGTGAATAAAGCACCATGAGAACACGATTAGAAGCTATTAAGTGTGTACTCCAGGTAAACTGTCCACTTCATGGCTCTGCTTACCTGACACCAAATGAAGTTAAAATATGGTTGTTAGCCACCTACCAGGCTCTGCTTTTTGCCCTCCCAGTTACCAGTGTGATGGCCATATCAGCCATAGTTACTAGTTCCATTTGTCCAGAGAAACAGGAGCTAGTTAGAAGCGCAGCCCAAGGAGGACATGTGAGATTCTAGGCTGAAAACACAAACTTGAAAACTGGCAACTCATTGCCAATGTGGATGGCAAGGAGAAAAAATCAGAGCTTGATTTGTCCTGTAGTATTCACGTGGCTAAAGCCCCTACTGAAGATGAAACCTTGCTTAGCTTAGAACTTTAGCCTATTAGGACAATCCACAGGGAATGTTTTCTGCACAGAGCACCCCTCTTAGGCTCACATTTTGCTCAACTGCTTTCTTGTGTGTGTGGTTTTTTTTTTCTACAGAAAGTGCCATCGTGTTTAAAATCCAAGGTTATTTTGATGCATGGCAAGCTCTCCTCATCAAACCAGACATCTTCTTTAAGATTTCTTGGCTATACAAAAAGTATGAGAAGTCTGTGTAAGTAATACAACTTTGGAAGATTTATGAGTACAATTGGATTGGATTTTTACCCTTGTGTCTTTGCTGTTTTTGTTGGCCTCTTTGGTAACTTTTCTGCTCTCTAGAGCCCACAAGGGAGCTGTTGGTTAAGTTTCTGATTAAACACTTTTTACAGCAGTTTGGCTGCATTTGGCCATACCAGAGAGTAAAAGCCTTTGGCTGGGCAGCTTCTTAGCAAGGGGGCTGAGTATGTGGTCTGGGAGCTTCAACTTGGGAACTAGTACATGCTAGTGTATTTTGAGTTCAAGAGAGGGGTTCACTGATCCTGTCATTAATATCTGTCAAAATTCTCTTTGCGCATCTGAAAAACTGGAACCACAGAATCAATTTATAGTTGTGTTATTTTTTAATGAATTTAACATAATTCAACTTGTAAGAACTGACAATAGTCTCAATAGAATTTTTTCATAATGAGTTTAGTTAACTTCAATAAAAAGTGTGTGGGTTTTTAAAATTATGTATCTTGTGTTTTGAGGGTCCTGAAATTGTCATCAAATGGCTTTGTTTTGGTCTTAGAATCATCCAGCAGAAAACTAGACAAATGCCCAGTGGCCTACAGACTAATCAATGGGTTTGTAGAGTACAAGTAGCCAGTCAGTAAACACTGCTACCTCTAACCACCAGTAAAGAGCCTATGGAATCTAGAAGCAGAAAGCCCTACTTTGTATCCTGTTTCTAATGGCCTTGGGAAGTTATTCAAAATAAGATATAACCTTTCTTCTGGAGTGAGGGCATAGGTTAATGAGATCGTATAAGTAAGGCAATTAGCAAAGAGCATGGCATATAGTAGGCACTAAATATGTTAGTTTCTCCCTTCCCTGTGTTCATATCTTCCTTAGATGTTCCTAACCATCTCAAGTTCTCCATCTCTAAATGAACCCAAGCTTGTCTGAAGACCTAACTTTATTCTGCTTGTGGATTTTGAAATTCATTAATATTAGTTTCTAGAGAAGAAGCCAACTTGATGTTGTTTTGTTTATTCTCTCATGGTTGATGAGTACTAGGTGAATGTTTTAGACACTTGGTTCTTTACACATTTCATTTCTACCAGAGCTTATTGTGACTTGAGAAAAAAAAAAAGATAAAAGATGCATCTCTTTACTGTGATCAGAGTTGGTAGCAGTGGTAGTGGTCTGAAGAGTTCATTATATAGCTCTTAGTCGTCAGTTTAGCCTTGGTCTTGGGCAATGGACCCATAGAAACTTATTGTATGAGTCTGTATAAGGGTTTCTCTGAGGTTTCTGCAGTTCCATCAAGGAACTCTCTGTGAATTTAGAGGCTAGAGGTATTCCAACACCTCCTAGATCATTTGGGGCTAGTGCTCAGATAGGAATGCTATGAGCATTCTCAGCCTACTAGGAAGAGGGCACCACAGCCCAACAGAATGAATATCTGTTCTTTGTATATAGGAGATGCTCAGCAAATATTTGATGAATGCATGCATCAGTAGGGTATTTCAGTGTGTAGATGAACATGTAACTTAGAATTTGAAAGACAGATTTTTTGTACCTTTAACATAGTACAGAACGTTGTTCCCTGGGATAAGGGAATAATATGCTGAGAATGAACACATACACTGAAGGACAGAGACAAGAAAAATTGAATTTAAATTCAAGGTGACCTTATTTTTCATCTTGTCTGGTCCTTTCACTTTAAAAGGATGTAGAGCCCAGAGATTTAAGGTAGCTTACATAGAAAGAGAACAACCTGAACTGGGACCTGACCCTACCCCATCCAGGTGTTCTTTCAACCACACTGCCAAGATGCATATAAATTTTTATGCAGCTAGTCATTCAACATATATTTACTTAGTGTTTACAATGTGGCAGAAACTAGTGAGGCATGAGAATAAATATCAAGAAAAATACCTAGTCACTGGAGTTTACTGTTTAGAACAGGAATCTCAAACTCCACAGTCTTCAGGGCTAGGCAAATAAAAGCAGGCTATGGGGGCTGGGAGCAGTGGCTCATGCCTGTAATCCCAGCACTTTGGGAGGCTGAGGTAGGCAGATCACCTGAGGTCAGGAGTTTGAGATCAACTCGATCAATATGGTGAAACCCTGTCTTTACTAAAAATACAAAAAATGAACTGGGTGTGGTGGCGGGTACCTGTAATCCCAGCTACTCAGGAGGATGAGGCAGGAGAATACCTTGAACCCAGGAGGCAGACGCTGCAGTGAGCTGAGATCATGACACTGCACTCCAGCCTGGGCAACAAATTGAGACTTTGTCTCAATTTTGGAAAAAAAAAAAAAAAAAGCAGACTATAGGAATATAAGACAAGTAAATGAAGGTACCTGTGGCAAACTGAAGAGTACATGACAGCATTCACAGGTTTGTTTTCGTTTTTTTAATTTAAACTTTGTGCCCGCCAAATCAGAAATTGAAAAACATTGTTAGATTTAGCCTTTTGGTATCAGTTTTTAACCCTTAGCTAGAAGTCACAGCCTTGATTTTGCTACCAGTATCCTAACCAGAACTCTTGGCTAACTGGCACCTTAACATGAAGTATAAGGTCTATGTAATTTAAGGGTATTTATGAAGAAATAAAACAGTAATTCACTTACTCATAAGCACCAATGAATTCAATTAAAGCAGATCGTTTTACCTAAACACATGGCAAATAAATCTGTTTTGCTAGATGTCTAAACTGAGTACAAACAGACTATATTTTGACTTTTTTTCCAGTAAGGATTTGAAAGATGCCATAGAAGTTCTGATGGCAGAAAAAAGACGCAGGATTTCCACAGAAGAGAAACTGGAAGAACATATAGACTTTGCCACTGAGTTGATTTTAGCCGAGGTATTGACCTGAACTAACCATAATTCCCATGCCAAATACGTTATAACTGTGTAGAAGTGTGTAAAGATTCCCTTTTGTAACTGTTGCATATTTCTGCTTTTAAATACTTTCTCTAGCAGTTTTGTAATCCCAATCCAAATAGCCCACACATTAGATATTTCAGTCAGACCTTTAAGATTGAAACATTCTAGTAAGACTGACTGCTAAGATTGTGACTCCTCTGTATCACAGTATAAAATATGAAAACAAGGTGGGGGGGCCCAAAGACACTATATACATAGACAATCAGCCACATTGTATATCTTTCAGCTCAAGATTGTCATGTAGAATGTCCACAGTCAATCACAGAGACATGTGGTTTCTATGATTTCATTTTGTTGAGACTGTTGATCATTGAGTGTAACCTCCCCTCATTTTTTGAAACTTTGATTGACTTTTCCAAATTTTTCCCGTCTTCCAATTGTTCAGAAACGTGGTGACCTGACAAGAGAGAACGTGAACCAGTGCATGTTGGAAATGCTGATTGCAGCTCCTGACACCATGTCTGTCTCTCTGTTCTTCATGCTATTCCTGATTGCAAAGCACCCTAATGTGGAAGAGGCAATAATGAAGGAAATCCAGACTGTTGTTGGTAAGAATTTATCAAATAAATAATACAGCTTAAAAAACAATTTCTTCTGAATGTTTTTTCTTATGCCCTAAGAATCTGATATCAAACATAAATTTTTTTATAATTTACTCCAAACAATATAGCAAGACATTCTGTCACGGTTGATTATACCAGATAGACTGAAAAGATAGTTCTTTCTGCATTTTTAATCATAAAAATAATACATGCTCATTGGGAGGAATTTAAACCACAGAGTGACATGTAAAGCCATAAGTGACATTCCCCCCAATCCCTTCCACTCTCCTCTCCAGCCTCATCCCCACTCTCCAACGGCAACCATTGGTAATAGTTTGCTGCGTGTTTGTTAAGATCTTTTTCTATGTGCCCACAAACACATACTTATGATTGGATTTGTCTATTTTACAAAAACATGGGATCATATATAATGTTCTGCCTACCTTGTCAGTTACAAAAGCCTTCTGCATCTCCCAGGGAAATGATCATCTATCACTTATAGCAGTGTTTCTGGGCTTCAAGCAGCCCATTCACAAATGAACTTCCCATTTGTGGCAGAAGAAAGAGGCGAGGATGACAGCAAAGACGGGAGGGATAGAATTTCCCTCTCCACTCCAATCCAGTGATGCTGGCCCCTTCCTTTCCCCTGCCCTCTCCTCCTCTTCAGGGGAGCTCCCAGGACCACAGTCAGGTCTTCCCCAATTCTACCTCTTCATTCTGCTGCCTCAGCTTCAGTTTCATCCTGCTCCACTGTTCTACAGAAACAATGCCACCTTCGAAAGAAATCAAACTTGCTTTCTGGGAGAACGCAGAATTCCTCATTTGATATTTCCTTCACATGAGTAATCTTTTAGGAACACATTTCTTACAGATGTGAAGAGATATCACAGAATGTAGATTTCCCTCTCTTTACACAGTCCCTGCAAAACAAGTTATTTGCTTGTAGAAGGGCATCATCTTTTTCAAACCATTGGAGTGCTGCTTGAAATAGTTAAACATAAGGGGAAATTTCATTCAAGGGTTAAATATGTGAGAGAAGGGATCTGCAGATGCCTCACACAGGTGGAAAGATTCCTGCCTAGGTAGAGAGCAATGAGCCAGAATAACATCTGGACTCCAAATTTCAGAATGTTTTCTCAAGTGCCTCCTATCATGCTCTCAGGTTCTGTGCCAGGTGCAGGGCTATAGCCCTGAACAAGCCAACACCATCGTTGCACTCATGTGCTCATGGGCTGGTGGGGAAAAGAAAACAAGCTCAATAAAGAGAGAGGGAAGGAGGGAGTTCATAAGCCTTTAATACACATTGAATACATTTATTTGAGAGGTGAAATGTGTGTGTACAAGTTGATGTTCCCGACACTTCAAAAAGCCTCGGCAAAGATGGAAAAGCAGCAGAGCCATCTGCAAATATCCATGCTCCCTCCTGTGTGCCACACACAGACTCGGTAACTACTTCCTAGTGAGCACCTTTGGTCACATTCTCCATCATCTTCCTTTCTACTTCCCCACCCCAGATATACAGACCCCATTACCCTTGAGTGTGCCAAGGGGAAGGGCCATGAGAGTACTCTGACCAAACTAGACCTTTCCTCAGTGGCTTGGCTGTACAGGAGACAGGGCTGCCTCGGGACCATGGGCTATTTTTGATTCTGCAAAAGTGGCATCTCTAAAGCTTTGCCATGTCTGGGAGTAATCTGAGCCTCTTAGACCAGTATCAGGCCAATCTGAGACAGTGGGGGTGTCCGTCAATCACCACCTCACCCACGGCTGATCTGAGGCACCTATTTTGTTGTGGGGGAGAAGAATGTCCTTGTCACTCTACTGCAGAAGATCTTCTTGATGAGATGCAGATGAACTATCAGTGACATGTATGAGCAGATGACTGCACAGGTAATCAGAGGAGAACATTTCATTGAAATGGATCAAATCTGCCATCTCACTTTGACTCTGCAGCAGCCTGTGCATCATCTCTGGGATGGCTGTGGTGTCAGTTTGCTCACAAGTGAAGAGAGGAAATGAATGTTCCTTATAATTTAGAGCAGGGAACAAAAACTCAAAGGTTTCAGAAAGCAGGCAGATAAGATGAATGCTTGAAGCAGATTGGGTGCGTTCTAGACAGAACTGCAGGACGTATGCCCCCTCTAAACAGAAAATTGGTCACTCAGCATCAGCTCATTATTGCTATGTGGGAATGTAAGTTCAGCGTCACCAAGCTTTCTGGATATTCAGGCTTTTCTATAAAATCTTCCAGTTTTTAAGGGAATTGTCTTCCTATCTGAATTTTTACAAAACATTCTATGGACCAAGCATAACATATTTGGTCCTGGTTGCTGGTGTGCATTAGAATTAGAGCCATCATTTTTTTTAAACCATGAGCAAACTGTTCCGTGGAAAAAGTAGGAGCTTTAATGCCAATCACAGGTGGCATTAAACTAACATTACCTTCTTTATCCCTTTTTTCTGTTTTCAAAGGTGAGAGAGACGTAAAGATTGATGATATACAAAAATTAAAAGTGGTGGAAAATTTCATTTATGAGAGTATGCGGTACCAGCCTGTTGTGGACTTGGTCATGCGCAAAGCCTTAGAAGATGATGTAATTGATGGCTACCCAGTGAAAAAGGGGACGAACATTATCCTGAATATTGGAAGGATGCACAGACTCGAGTTTTTCCCCAAACCCAATGAATTTACTCTTGAAAATTTTGCAAAGAATGTAAGAGCCCTTCCTTAAAACTGAGTGTGCCACTCTTGAAAATGTCAGCGTTAAATCCTCTCTGGTTCTCTGTGTTTGCACCATAAACATTTCATTTTTCTTACTTGTTCCCCTCTGCCACCTCACCAGGAGCACACATGTCCCCTAGCTTGGAGCAGGGCTCCTGTATTCATCCTCAAGCCAAGGATTCTTGGTCTCCAGCTCTAAGAAGTAGCTGCATAGTGGCCACAAAATAGGTGAAAAAGCCAGGCCCTTAATTTGCTTAAAATGAGGTGATTTTTACTTAACCCAGCCAACCTACTTTTCCATTTAAACTTTGTCATGTCATCATATTCGGCTATAGCACCATCTGAGCAAAGGAAAGTCCATTACTGCTTCAGATGGAAATCAAATGAGACAAAAAGATTTGGTTTTTGCAAAGTGCCTTTGGTTCATCAAATGGCCCCATGAACAGCAGGTCCCATTCTAAACAGGGCTTACTAATTAGAAGAGAGTCCGTTTTCCTTTTTCTGTGATTGATGTGTACTAGATATTCCACTTTCGTTATGTCAAATTTTAGGCAATATGTTTTTCGATCTGAATTAAATAAGCAGTTCCCTAAGTGCGTTTTTTCAATTTGCATATGGTGTAGAAACGTGATGCTAATTAATTCAGTATGCTAATTCATCTTGTTTCTACATAGGCAATCCAGATAATGCCATGTAAATCAGTCAATCGGTCAACAAAAATTTATTGAACATCTACTATATGCTAGGCAGTAAGTCCAGATGTGGACAAGACAGATGTGGTCCTCATTAATTTTCTACATAACTAAAAATAGTTCGATGATTAGCGCTGAGTAGGCCAGTAATCTACATCTTTGCTTGCTTTCGTCTCTTATTTGGTGCCACACAAAAATGATCTTTGCCTGACTGACTTGTAAAACAATAGTAAATCTGTATCTATTCCACAGAACTACCTGATTATACTAAAACTGGCTGTAATAAGATGATTTGCATTGCTTTACCCCAGCACATGAAAGGCAAAACTGGGGACTCTTTGAGGTTAGATCTGTCTGTGTTGGATCACAAGGGGTGAATCAAACAGGACAGAGAAGGGGCTTATTTGAGTTCCAGTTGTCCATCTGAGGGGGTGGGGGGCATTGTGGCTGACACCCCAAAACAGAGTGTTCTGACTGACCAATATTTTCAGAATGAATCCAACAGATATTAAATGACTCTAGCCTTTAATATTCTGGGTAACTGTCTGTCATTTTCACAGGTTCCTTATAGGTACTTTCAGCCATTTGGTTTTGGGCCCCGTGCCTGTGCAGGAAAGTACATTGCCATGGTGATGATGAAATCCATTCTCGTTACGCTTCTGAGAAGATTCCACGTGAAGACATTGGGAGGAGAGTGTGTTGAGAACCTACAGAAGACAAACGACTTGGCCTTGCACCCAGATCACACTAAAAGCATGCTGGAAATGATTTTTACCCCAAGAAACTCAGGAAGGTGCCTGGAACACTAAAGAAGGCTGGTCAGTACCAACTCTGAAGCATTTCTCATCAGTAGTTCACATATAAATCATCCATCCTTTCCAATAGTGTCATCCTCACAGTGAAATCTCAGTGACCATGATTTTATAGGCATACCTCCTGTGGGTTGTCAGCAAGCTGGGTGCTATTGGTCATCTGCCCCTATTCACACCAGAGAACGAGATTACAGGAGAAAAGGCAGAGGCCAAGAGTTTGAGGGAGAAATAGTGAAGAAACTGTATCCTTAAAGGCCCGATTCCACCAAAAGTGCTTTGAGAAGGATGGGCCTTCATTAGTAAAACGTATGTCTGGTTCCCCACTGGAGCTCTACTGCCTCACCCCAAGGGCATTTTTATGTCTAGGGCAGAAACACTCAAGTTGATTAGAAAGACCAGGCCAATGTCAGGGTACCTGGGTTCAAACACACATGCTATTGTGAATTAAAGTACTTTAATTTTGTTTTCTGTGGGAGTGGGACAGCAACATTCATACTCTTTGAAGAAATGCTTACAAATTCAGCATTTAACCCTTCCTGTGATTAAGCCCAATTAACTCCTGTTTGTGCACATATGATCTGTCTGTGGGAAAAGTTAAATCAGAGGAAATTATTTTCCAGTCTGTCAATTTATGCCTCAGCCACTTGCCTGTGCTCCAATTCATTGTATTACCTGTAGATTCAGGTAATACAAGCTAATTTAGTAATAGCCTGGGTTAAGTATAATTAGGACCCTGTGTCTGCTGTAGAAAAAAATAATCACATGATATACTTCAAATTCAAATAAAAATCCTTTTGGCATTTTCCATTGTTGCTTAACTCAATTAGTGTGGCTAACCAGGATATCATTGTAAATGTGGCATTGATTTGCTCTCACCACAGCTTCAGTGATTGGGAGAGGAAAAGTCCTCCACATCTGCATCTAATTCTACAACCCAGTGGGCTCAAACTTGTAAGGAATGCTCCTCTTCTCCCCTTATCCTTCTCCCTTGACATTTTCTCCCTCTGTCATCCCTTGACCCCAAAAGCCAGGGGCAACAGACACATAAAGAACGTGGTCAGAGTAGAATCCCTGCAGTATTTTTTGATCCTATCTCAACTGTAACTGTTACCTGAGAGATTTAACGTTATCTAGCTTATAATTGTATGTGGTCATGGATAAAATGCACACCTTGGAATTAGCTTTCTAAAGGAAATCAGATGAATGGATTAACTTTCCAAACACCACTTTACTTGTGTTATATAACCAATATGACTGTCTCTACTGAATGTCATTGAAAAACTGAAAAATTAAACTTATTTACAAATAGATAAACATTTGCAATTAAATCCATTGCCATCCCATTTAACTATTCTTTTCATCCTACTGTTTAGTAATAAGGCAACAGCTGAGTATAAAACAAGAGTATAATCTCCCTGAAAGCAGGAGCTACTTTCTTTCTTTTGTAATCCATCTCCATCCCTATCTCCCCATCCTGTCTCCCTGTATTCACTCCCAAGCTCAGTTCTGAATAGACTCTTCTGCTCAGAGATATACCCAACTGATGCAGAAACCAAGTAAAGAGGTAGCTATTCCAAGAATTTAAGAATGGACACCGGTAAAGAATAAAACGTTTATTGAACTTGAAATTATGTGGATCATCTATATGGCCTAAAAATATATGGACTCCGGGCATGGTGGCTCACATCTGTAATCCCAGCACTCTGTGAGGCTGAGGCAGGTGGATCATGAGGTCAAGAGATCAAGACCATCCTGGCCAACATGGTGAAACCCCGTCTCTACTAAAAATACAAAAATTAGCTAGGCATTATGGCGTGTGCCTGTAGTCCCAGCTACTTGGGAGGCTGAGGCACACTGAATCCAGAAGGCAGAGGTTGCAGTGAGCCGAGATCATGTTATTGCACTCCAGCCTAGGGACAGAGCAAGACTCCATCTCAAAAATAAAATAATAAAATATATATATATATATATATGGACTTATACAGATGTATTCAGGTACACAGGCATAGTCCATATATATATACATATAAATATATACATATAAATATGTATGTATGGACTATGCCTGTGTACCTGAATATGTCTATAGATCTGTAGTCAGGTCTAGACTATCATTCAAATACTTTAGACCCCTGAAAGCAAGAAGCAAGGCCAGGATGTGAGATTTAACATGCCCAAGTTAATTCACTCGAAAATTAGTAACACTCTGTTTATATTGCCTCTGGCTGGAGCTGCATGGTGGAAGAAGCCCACCTTTGGATCCTTCACCCATCTAATACTCTTGGGACATTTATGTGTATTTTACCTGTATATATATGTAGCGAAGATCTATGTCTATACAGTCAAAGTGAAATGAAAGTTTGATATAACTATACTAGATAACTATTTTGCAGATATAAAAATATGCTGGGGGAAAACTGAGATTGGAGGGGTGGGGGTGGGAATGAGGGATATGGGGGAGGAACAGGAAGAGGGGAGGTGTTGGTTTGAATGATCCAAGCAAACTCTCCCAGAATCAAATTACCTGGGTAGTTGTTTAACTTTTCACTCGGCTCGGCCTGTAAGACAAACCTCATATGTTTATAGAGGCTTGGCCTATGAACTTTGGAATACCATTGGCTTTTCAGTAGGCCGTTAAACACGTGTTTGAAAATGCTATTATCTCTTCAGAATTCTGCCTCATTGTTAAGTGCTTAACTGTCACTCTTGAATGTGCAATGTGCTGTGGATTCCATTTTCATCAGTTCCCAAAGAACTGAAATGTGTACATTATCAGTGAAATGCATGTATATAAGGGCTCTATCATTATCAAATTGTAAGGACAATTGTACCCTTCTATATCCTCTGGTGTACTAGACACCCCCATGCCTTGATTGAGATCCCATGCTCTCCTCTCAAGTGGAAATAATCACATCCAGCAAGCTCTCTCATTATTGAGAAATACCACTTGGAAATTGCCACTTTTTATTCCTAAGCAGCACCCTTCACTGTTCATAGTGCTAATATTCCACAAAAGCATGTGCCATTGGCCCACTGAAGAATGGCTGGACCCTTTGCAATCTGTATCAGCTGGGCTCTGGCACGGAACCTCTCACTTGTTCTTGCAGAAAGACATACTAAATTAAACCTTGTGAAAGTAGTAAGTCAAATGGAGCGTTTGACGCTTTCAGTTGCTCTTAGCTCAAAGAACAAAGTCAAGGGCTTAACCCTTCAGGGCTCAACCCTGTCAGGGCTTACCTGTTTCAGCTCCCTCATTTCCTTTTTGCAGCTTTTAGCAGGTATTGGCCTATTCTAGGAAGTCAAAGACCATAACCCTGTTTCTACCAGGTCAACAAGATAATGGAATGTATTTACACAAGACAACCCCCCATTCATCAAGTCCAGCCCATTAAGTATATTTTACCTCTCTCTCTCCCATCAAGAAAACATTTCAAAGCGCAAAACAAATGACAATCATAAGAATACAATGATAATTATAGGAATAACCTGAAATCCACTGTGATTTATAACCAAAAGCAAATGTTTCACAAACCTCAGTATTTTAACTCATTAGCAAAACATTTCTTGTAAAGAAGGTCTTAATAGAGGCATGGTAGCTGACTCCCTGTGGTTCAGGTAATTTTTAGTTCCTTTTAGCTTTGCAACTCCATGAATAGGGAGGCAGTGGAGCCCTGAATCTGGGCTCAGACTTTTCGTAAGGAGATGCTTTTGACAAGCTGTTTCATCTCTCCATATCACAGTTTTCTCATCCGTCCAGTGGGAATAATAATTATCTCATAAGCATTGCTGTGAGAACTGCAAGAAATAATTTCTGTGGAGCTCTTTAGCACAGTGCTGGTACACAGCAGCCTCTCACCGAGCACAGGACATGATAATGATGAGCTCAGTAATTAGGCTGAATCATGATCTCCTCAAATCTCTTCTCTTGCAGTAGAGGGGGACAGGAGATGATGTGCCAGATATTTCTATTATCTCATATTAAGCTTCATGACAACTTTCCTATCAGCATGAGTGCCTCAGTAATCCCTGCAGCCTATTGGTAAGACAGAGTCCCAAGCACCCAAGCACTCCCCTAGTAAAGGAACAACCTGGGTTCGAGTCTATCTCTCATTCCAAAGCCCCTGTCCCCTCTCTGATGCCATCTTCTTGCAGCAGGACTAAATGGCTGAGAGGCTGAGGAGTCTCATTCCACTTCCCCAGCTCTCTCACCGTGTGATGCCAGGTAAACCCCTTTGGAGGGCTGCTCATTCCCCAACTCATTGTCCCGGGAATTTGAAGCAAGGAATATCTCAGTTTCTTTATAAAATATGGATGATTTTACCTGCCTTCCCTACTTCCCACATGTGTTTCAAGGTGCTTTCTCAAAAGAGATAGGGGAAAGTGCTGTAAAAGTTTAGTTAGTATAAGGTGGTAGTACTAATGAGTATATTCCAACAGCTGCCTCAATAGGAAATTATCAGATTTCATTTTGTCATTACCTGATCACCAGGAACACTTCCAGCTTTGCACAATTTCAATTAATTTCAGGTTTGTCACTCCATTAAAAAATAAGGAGTGAGTTTAAAAAATAGACATTTTCTATAAACACACAGTGTGCAAGGCAGACTGCATGATGGCCATAAAATTGCCCACATTTTAGCCAAATTGGCAAATGCTAATAAGTCTATTATGATTGACAGCTATTATGCAATTTCTTCTTCCGGCAAGGATTTCATATATGAATGAAATATTCAGTCCCTCACATAGTTATTTCCAATGGGGATAAGCTAGGGGTTTGGTGTGGAGGAGGCAAAGCCAGACTCACGGGCACAAAGTCTTCCTCTTCTAGCCTAGTTAAGCCTGGATAGATGAAGAACTACGGGTTGTGAAAGTGTATTCATTCTTTCAGGCCAGGAAAACAGTAACTGTAGCTACTTTCTTACTACATTAAGCCCTTTTAACAGTCATGTCATATACTTCTCAACTATACTGTGAGGTGGTTATTATTCCCCCCACCACCCATTTTTATTCCTT